GAGAGAGAGAGAGAGAGAGAGAGAGAGAGAGAGAGAGAGAGAGAGAGAGAGAGAGAGAGAGAGAGAGAGGATGGAGCGAGTTATTCAGCAGTATGTTAAGAAGATCAATTAAGTTAATGTTACTTGCTGTCAATCTGGCGATCGTCTGTACATGTGGATAGAGTGCCACCTGGGAATGCTTGCTGCCTGGGAGTGTGCAAGGGAGAGAACCGTGGATTGTCTTCGGACTTGTCACCGTCCCCTAAGGTCATGCAAGCCATGAATTCATCCATGGCCGCCACATGGCTGCCCTGCATCGATGACCGACGTCTTGGCGGCCTGGGGCCTTCCTCTCCCCTCCCAGAGAGGGTGATACCCTCTTATGTGTCATCCAGCTCGGAGTCACAGCCGCACGGGCCACCACCATTACGAATGGCAATTCCTCTCCGTTTGCCTTTTCCTCTCACGTCTATGCAAGGACGGTCGTCTGAGTCACACCACGTGAGGATGACCACCTCTAATCGTCCATCTCTCCCCCCGATCAGTTTTCTGCGAAATGGTGCACCTGTTGATAGCGGGACCTTTCTCAGGTCCAGACGTGTGGGATCTGACGATGACGATGCGTCCTTTGTCCCCTCCTCTGTCGTAATGTGCGGCTTGATCTGTGCCACTCCAACAACAATTGCTTCCAGGAGTTGGGCTCCGATCCCGGCGGCGGCGACAAAGCATGCCATTTCGTTGGCAAGCCCGCCACGTCATTACTGTTGTTGCTGTCGATCTTCTTCTGCTGCCCGGGGCAGGATTACGTCCGCCGCACCCCTTCACGGAGTAGGTTCCCAAGGCCCATTGGGATCGGGACTTGGGTTTTCTGGCCGGGCACGACCAGCAAGGCAACCCTTGCGTTTGGTTTGTTCGGCGGCAGAAGAATCCACGACAAGCGATGCCGCTCCCAGTCCGCAGGGTGTTCCGGAAGAGGCAGCTGCTGTCGCCTCTGTGGCAGCAACAGAAGGGGAGGAAGGGAGAGCGGCAGCGGGAGGGCGGAACTATGCAATCAGCGCCACCATGGTGAGCACTCTGTCTGTCCCCGTGGAGACGCACTATTGGGGCTGGAAAGGGTACTGGATTCGGTACCAGAGTGCAGGGAGTCAAGGGCCTGCAGTTGTCCTCATTCATGGTTTTGGTGGTAATTGTGACCACTTTAGGAAGAACCTTCCTGAATTAGCAAAGCGCCACCGAGTGTTTGCCATCGATCTGTTGGGATACGGATACTCGGATAAACCCGATCCCAAGGGTCTGCCACCGAACACGATATACACCTTCGAGGAATGGGGAGGACAAGTGGCAGATTTCTGTCACGAGGTAGTCGGGAGTCCTGCTTTCCTGGTCTGCAACTCCGTAGGTTGCATTACAGGCCTCCAAGTGGCCGTATCTGCACCCGATGTGGTCCGTGGGCTGGTCCTCCTCAACGTCTCTTTACGGCTTCTGCACATCAAGAAGCAGAAATGGTTTGCCAAACCCTTTATCAAGGCTTTTCAGACCCTGTTAAGGACCACACCGCTTGGGCCATGGTTTTTTGCGCAGGTGGCCAAACCAGGCGCGGTAAAGAACATTCTTCGACAGGCTTATCATGACGACGAGACGGTGACGGACGAGCTGGTGGATAAGATTCTCTCGCCAGGATTGCAGCCCGGAGCAGTGGACGTGTTTCTCGACTTTGTGTCGTACTCCGGAGGGCCATTGCCTGAGGATCTACTGCCACGTGTCAGTTGCCCAGTCCTTATTGTGTGGGGCGATAAGGACCCTTGGGAGCCAATAGACCTTGGACGAACTTTGGGTGCGATGGATTCCGTCGAGGAGTTCATTGCCTTAGAGAATGTGGGTCACTGTCCGCAGGATGAAGCCCCACATCTGGTGAACCCTATAGTTGAGCGCTTTGTAGCCAAGCATGCTAATTAGTTAAGCTAAGTACCTGAAAGGGGCAGGGGGAAGGGGGGGTTGTGGTCAGGGTGAGGAATCAGGGGGGGAGGAGGAGGAGGAGGAGGAGGAGGAGGAGGAGGAGGAGGAGGAGGAAGGTGTGTAGGCACAGCAGGAGGGAGGGGCACACTTGTAACATAAAATATTATGATATATTGTAAGTATTGCTGATTTGTTAGTGAACACTGAACTCCCTTTTTAGGTTTAAAATTCCTGCATACGTTTGTTGCTTGGTTTGGTAGATGCAGCTGGTTTTTCAAAGATGGACGGAGAAATTCAGTGGTGTGGGGGCATTGATCAAAAGATATAGATGCGACTTTTTCAAAGATGGATGGCAAATTCAGTGATGTATTTATAATGAGTCTAATGACACATGGCGCAAATTGATTTTTCGATGTATTTGTTTCTGTTTCTCTATATCTGTTTCTTTCCCTTGGTGCACCCATCCAATCCCCCAGATCTTCCTGCTTGTCCCTCCCTTGTAGATTTTTTTTTGGGTCAACTATCGGCGAGGATACCGGATAAACTGTCCTTCGGGACATCCGTTAAAAGGATTGGAATGATACAGAGAATGAAGATTAGCATGGCCCCTGCGCGCAAGGATGACACGCAAAAATCGAGAAAATGGTCCAAATTTTTTTTTCAAAAGGATTCCACATAAACTGCATGATTGATTCCTGGCCATAGATTGTCAAGATGAATGGCCAGGCAATGGTAAATTTGATACTTACTGCACATGTGATATGCACACGAAGGGCCAGGCAGTGGTAATTTTTTAAATACTTACTGCACATGTGCTAGGTACATGAATGAGGAGGCAGTGGTAATTTTGATACTTACTGCACATGGTAATTTTGATACTTCACATGGTAATTTTGATACTTACTGCATATGCGCTATGTGCACGAATGACTAGGCACTGGTAATTTTGATCCTTACTGCACGTCCGCCAGGCTCATGAATGGCCAGGCAGTGGTACTTTTGATACTTACCGGACGTGGTAATTTTGAACTTACTGCACGTGGTAATTTTGATACTTCACATGGTAATTTTGATACTTACTGCATATGGCAATTTTGATACTTACTGCATATGGCAATTTTGATACTTACTGCACATGGTAATTTTGATACTTTACTGCACATGTGCTATGCGCACGAATGGCCAGGCAGTGGTAATTTTGATAGTTTACTGCACAGACGGTATGCACACAAATCGCCAGGCAGTCTGAACGTTGATACTTACTGTGCATGTGCAGTATGTGCTATGTAAATGTGCCAACTCTGCACAACGTCCCACTGCATGCACTGTATTGGTACAGGTAAAAAACAAAAGGAAAAATGGAAAACAAAAAAAGTATGTGTCGTAGAAATGATCTTTTGTAACCTTTGGCTAGGACGCTATCACATAATCGTACCCGAGGGCATGCTCGCACTAGGACTTTTTCAACTTATCTGTGGACATAATTGCGGTCAGGTCCAGTCAGGCCAAAAAGGGTCAGATTCATCCAGGAAAATCCTTGTGTGAGTATGACGTGAGTCCTGTGGAACATCTGTTAGAAATGTAACAAAAAAAAAGAAGAAAAGTCTGTCGGCTAGAATTTGAACCATATGGACTCTTGCCTCATTCGTTACCTCATTGTGCTTCCTGCCTCTCGCTTCTCTTCCGCCACCACATCCTGCTTCCCCTCCTGCTGGCCCCCTCTTCCTGTTCGTTGTCC